AGTTGAAGTCCACCAGGCTTAAAGTCACCAAGGTTGGAGACCCCTGTCCTAGAAGAACGGGGCTTCTTGGCATTCTAGGGAGCACCCCTCTAGTCTTTCTAAGTATCACTGTAGACCTGAAACTGTTGGAGAGTTGGGGGTGCTTTGGGGGGGGGCTGGCGAGCAGAGCAGATGCAGCACGGATGAAACTTCTGTGCACTCTCTGACCCTCCCTTGCAACCCCGTTTTGGCTTTGCTTCGTTCGGACAAGCATGAACCAATAATAAAGCTGCAGGACTGGTCCTTTCTAAAGCTCTGTCTACGTCCATTTGCCGCAGGCAGGAAAATAGGAAGTTTCGCACCCTGAACTCCATTTAGCTGGAAAAGTCAGCTCTGCAGGCTGTTCTCATTTGTGCAGCCCTGGAGCTTTTGAGGGAGGGCACAGGAGGAAGCTCTGCTTGCCAGGCACTTGTTTGGAGTTCGGTTACCAATGAATGCTTGGAATGTCGCGCTTGGGGAGTTTGCTACGTTGGTGGCCTCGGAAATGAATTGAGCATGCTGGATGGCAACCTCAAGGGTGTTTCCTGAAGAGGAATTTGAAGATTAACAAGTATTTAACCAGAGATACTTCCCTGAAGCTTGCCTGGAGGGTCTCCAAGAGCACTTCTGCTTCTAACCCTAAAAGCTTCTTGCTGGCCATAATTTTGACCTGCTGAAAGGGGAAACTTAATAATCGCTGCATGAGCCACCAACCAGTGTCCAATGGTCCAACCGATTTTGACCCATCCACTCTGGTGGGCGTGCTCCAAGTCCCATCAGCCAAGGAGTGGCTGCTTTGGGGCCCAGGAGGCCTACCTTTTTCTGCCTTAGAGACCTGCCCCAACCCCACTAACCTTTCACAAAGCTTTGAAGAGCTGGCTTTTGTGCTTCAGCCTCGGGCCCCAAGTGGGTTAAGGGCCCCATTTCCTGTTTACATTAGCCTCTGTGGATTATAATTTTACTCAGATGCCATGTTTGTTTGTTCATTTTCCTATTGTGTTTGTGATTAATGTTACGATTGTTCACTGCCCAGAGTCATTTGTTTTGAGGGGGGTGGCTATAGAAATTGAACAAACATTCCCCCCCCCAAATCTAAGGTTATTCCAAGCCCAGGTATCTCATTTCTATCAAATGCCCCAGATTCACCTGGGGCAACTGATTTCGAGAACGTCACTCTTTCTTTCCCTTGCACCTAGCCTAGTCCCAGTTGTGTATCTCTTGACACCCAGTGTGCCTTCCCTCGCTGTGTTTGTTCCTGGGTTGCCCTTCTCTTGTGCTGCTTCGAGGGAAATGGGATGCACAGTTCCCTCCACGTCAGCCATTACTTCCACTTGGCCGGTTGACCAAGGAAGCGTGAGCGGAGAGCCCAAAAAGGAGATTCTTCGGCTCAGAGAACATGATTCCATAGGGAAACAGATTCCATCTGCTGTTTTGTTGTTGTTGTTGTTGTTGTTGTTTAAAAAAAACCCTCATAGTTTCTACCACCCTTCCCTAAAGATAAGATAGGCCAGATCCACACCCCTCCAACTATTTATTTATTTATTTGATTTGTCAATCATTTACAAGATACAGGTATAAGAATAAACATAGCTTTTAATACATGAGATGGATACTTATAAGAAAAATAAAAAGAAACAATAGGACAGGGACGGTAGGCACGATGGTGCGCTTATGCACGCCCCCTACAGGCCTCTTTGGAAGGGGGTGAGGTCAATAGTAGACAGTCTAAGGTTAAAGTTTTTGGGGTTGGGGGAAGAAACCACAGAGTCAGGTAGAGTATTCCAGACATTGACCACTCGGTTGCTGAAGTCGTATTTCCTGCAATTGAGTTTGGTGCGGTTTACCTTGAGTTTGTATCTATTGTGTGCTCTTGTATTGTTATGGTTGAAGCTGAAGTATTCATTTGCAGGTTGGACATTGCAAAGTATGATTTTATATACTATATTTAGATGGGACCGAAGGGGGCGTAGTTCTAGGTTTTCTAGGTCTAGAGTTTCAAGTCTGGTGGCACAAGGTATTCTGCAATGAGTAGAGGAGCGGAGAATTCCTCTTGTGAAATATTTCTGGACTTTCTCAATTGTGTTCATATCAGATACATGATATGGGTTCCAGACTGATGAGCTGTAGTCAAGTATAGGTCTAGCAAATGTTTTGTATGCTCTAGTTAGTAGTGTGATATTACCAGAGAAGAAGCTACGTAGGATTAGATTAACAACTCTTAATGCCTTTTTGGCTATGTAGTTACAGTGGGCTCTAGCACTTAGATCATTAGAGATGAGTACTCCAAGGTCCTTGACAGTTTGGATCCTCAACAAGGTCTTGACTATTTAGCTTGTATTTTATTTTTTGATTTTTTTTCAACAATGTCTTCTGTAAAATCGATATGTATTAGATCATTGCAGCGTCTTTGTACATTCGACTAGGAAATACTCGGCTTGATCCATTGCTGTTTACAAACACTGAGCCAAAGAATGTGTTAAAGAGGTTTGCTTTGATGGTGTCGTCGTTGCAGTCTTTACCATTAGGTCCTTTCAGGGGTGGGATGGACCTTGAGTCTTTTAGTTTGTTGTTTACAAAATTGTAGAAAGCGTGGGTGGAATTTGTGTGTAGAAGGTTTTCCTCTTGTTTAACGTGATAATTGGTGCATTCAGTCTTTATCTGGTGACATAAATTTTTGTATCGGCTTTTGAAGTTGGCAATGTGACCAGATTTGTTTTTCTGCCAGAGTGATCTCTTTTTGGATTGAAGCTTCCTTATTGTTATGGGTAATCTGTTTTTCCTGGTTTTGGGAGTTGTTATTGGTACATATAGTTTGATGACTCTTTTGATTTCTAGTAAGAATATGTTGTAATGGTCTTCAACAGTATTGCATCCACTGAATAGAAATTGCCAATCAAGGGAAGAGAGATTGTTGATTATAAGATCATAGTTGCCTTTTTTGAAGTTATAATTGGGGATTTTGTCGTTGTGATGATTTTTGTGTGGACGTATGTTGAGACAAAAGTCAATCGCGTTGTGGTCACTGTTGGAAAAGGGTTCTTTAATTTGTATTCCGTATATTGAATTCAAACTATTGCAGAAGATGAGATCGAGGCAGTTGTTAAGCCTAGTATTATTGGTTACTAGTTGTTCCAGTCCCAGATTTGTTACAGCATTGTAGAAGGTTGCATGTATGGGTTCAGTTGTACATTCGTTTAGGGTCCAGTTAATATGAGGTAGATTGAAGTCACCAAGAAAGTTAAAAGCGTGTGGGCAGGATGCTGCCCATGTTAGTAGTGTATTTAGCTTGTTTACGTGTTCGATGTCATAATCAGAGGCTCTGTAACATAGTAAGAACCGAAATGTGATATTTAAGATCAGTTCACAGATAATGGTTTCAGGAAGAGAATGCTCTTGGGTAACTTGGATGTTTTTTTAGATGTAGGGACTTTTTATAGAAGATAGCAATACCACCTCCTCTACGGATTTCACAATCTGATCAGTAAACATGATAGTCTCTTACTGAGGTAATGGAGTCAGGGAGAGATGCGTTGAGCCATGTTTCACAGACAAATATAATGTCGAATTTAGCCATATTTAGTAAGAGGAGAAATTTTATTCACAAGGCTTCTTGCATTGAGTAGCTTGCATTTAAGGCCAGTTGTGGTTGGAATAGAGGTAGTTGGGGGCGTGCGTGCCTAGTCTTGGGTGATGGTGGATGGATGATGAACCATCGTGGATAGAAAGGCTACCAGCGTCTTTGTACATTCGTCTCTTATGGAAGTGAAGAGATAATTGGAAATTACCTCATTCCTCCTTGTCCTGGAAATACGGGGCCTTGGATTAGTTCTACTTCAAATATCTTGAAAATAAAAGATGAAGTAAAGTCTTCATCTTCATCTTGACTCCCTATAACATACCTGGATGCTTCCTTGCAGTTTCCTTGGGGTGATATGGAAGTGGGGTTTGCCACTCCTTTCTTCCAGGATGTTTTTGGTTTAGCCAAAGGGCCCTGGACATTTTAAAAGGTCCCCCATTCAGATGCCAACCAGGATCAGTCATGCCTACTTTTGACCTTATATGATTTAATGCTTCTTATTAGGCTTAACTTTGCCTTGAGATTTTCATCAAGTGATTGGAGTGCAAATATCCCATTTGGGTAAAAAGGACTTTTCTTTCAACTTTCCAATTTTAATATCGAACCGTATCTCCCCGGATTTCTTCAGCAGACGAGTCCTCTCACTGAGGGATCTCAAAGTAATAAAAGTCCCAGGTGAGCAATAAATAGCTTAAGGACGGTCCTGCCTACTTTAGACTTTCTGCCACAAGCAAGGATTTGGACACACCCTGCCTAAAGGTGGCTTTAGTTCACTCATTGAGCAATCAGAGAATGCCAAGGTGGAATCCGTGGTGTTTTTCCTCACTTGTGCCGAATCATGGAAGAAACCTGGCCTGGCAGCCCCTTCTTTCTGTCCCAGCTCTGCGATGCTGCCTTCCTCTTTTCGGCCCCTGGTGAGTGAGAGAGGCTGAAGTTCTCCCCAGCTGCCCTTGTATTCCCTCCTGACAAAAATCTGAATGGTGGCCACAGGTGGGTAAGATCTCTTAGACTTTGCCATCTTGGAAGGGAGTCAGTGACTGCAGTAACTTAAATGGAGAGAGAGAGAGAGAGAGAGAAAGGCAGGAAAGGAAGTGCACCGGGGCAGAAGACTCTATGCTGGTTTGGTGAGGGGGAGGAACGCTCTAGCTTGGCAGCGAGCAAAGATCCTTTGGGGGCTCAGTGATGGATTCTGAGCAGGCGAACCTTTCCCAAGTTCAAAAGACTGACCAAGAAAGATAGGTTGTGGTGTTGGGCATAATCTTCCTGGCTATCCAGAGTATTGCAAGTTTGAAATGACTGCTCCTCTCAGCATTGAATAAAATGTCTGCATTGCTAGAGTTTTGTGCAGAACTTGAGACATAAACTGGGCAGTTTCGAGGGTGCTGAGACTCTTTGAGTACTATGATTGTTTTTAAGTATCACCGACTTGGGAACTCTTTATTTGTGTTGAACTTCGGCCAGTTGACGTCAACCAAACCAAGAATAAAACGACTCTTCTGGTTTCATTTGTTATGGATTGGATGTGATGCAGCAGCATGGAGCATGGAGAGGTGCCCACCGGTGGACAACAAGTAGCCAAGTTTGGTTTGAGCTTCCTTCAGTTCTTGAGGTCCTTCAGACTTGGTCCCATCATTACACAGCCAGGTTACAACATTCTGAGTAGGGCTGTTTTTTCCCTCACTTCAAAGAAAGAAGTCAGAGTTTTTCCAGGTTAGAAATAAAGAGTTAGAAAAGCAGGCTGTGACCCTCATCTGTCATGAGCTACTTCTGAGTCCCCCTGGGCTGCTTTGGGACAAGTCGGGTAGTCAAGTGGTTGCTCTTAACCCAGCATCTCCAGAGTAGCGGCTTCTTACTCTCCTAGACCGGAGTTGCACCACTCCCTCTGCCTACTGGCTTATCTCTTGGCTGCCCTTCTCTGCCTTTTCCTTGGTTTCACATCTGCTCTGATCAAAAAGCTCAAAACTGAAGGGCTGCCTTTTCATCTTGGCTGAGTTCCTCCATAGTCTGATTATGGCTTTCTGCTGGCCACTTTTTCCTTCCCTAGGCTACCTCTGGGTGCCCCCTCTAATAAAAACACAGTGGGGTGTGGCCAGTTCGTCGTCCCTTCTTTTCCAGCTAACTGGCCTGACTCCTTTTCTCGGCAGCACCGGCAACTCCTGAAGGACAGTTTCATGGTGGAGCTGGTGGAGGGATCTCGGAAGCTGCGTCACGTCTTTCTCTTCACGGATTTGTTCCTCTGCGCCAAGCTTAAGAAGCAGATTGGAGGGTGAGCCCCCCGTGGGAGCAGTTATTGGGGGGGGGGTGTTATTGGAGCTGTGACTGGGGCGGTGGGGCAGCAGAAGGAAGCCCTGGGAGAAGGTCCTTGGGGACGGAGGCCCAGGGGCAAAAGTAGCACTTTGGAACTCTGCTGGGGGGGTCTCTCTCTTTCTAAGGGAGGAGGGGGAGCTCCACTTTAGAGCCCAGGTCCTTACCAACCCCCAGGTAGGCCTGCAGCTTTGGAGTTTATGTGATGTTTTTGAGGCAGAAATTGCAAAGAAAGTTTGCATCGTTGGAAAGTGATGTTTTTATGAGGCATCTTTGCAACCAAATCTAACACGTTTTTATCTGTTTTCCAGGGGGCTGGGGGGGGGTTGAGTTTAACTGATGGGCTCCCAAAGCCAGGCTCAGGGGTATCGAGGTATGGAAGGAGAAAAGGGGAGCAGTTCGAACCGTGTGCAAGAGAGAGGGGGGCCCCTTGCCCAGCTGCAAGCATAGCCCCCCAGAGCCAATGCCTGCGGTTGGCTTCCCCTCCTCTTGCTGGGGGCTCGGGACGGATGAGGCCAGGGGTGAGCCGCTCACCTTCGTCCTTCTCGCCTTTGCAGGAAGAGCCAGCAGTATGACTGTAAGTGGTACATCCCCCTCTCGGATCTCAGCTTCCAGATGGTGGATGACTCGGAGATGGTGCCGAACGTCTCTCTTGTGCCAGACGAGGAGCTGGATGCCATGAAGATCAAGATCTCCCAACTCAAGAGCGACATCCAACGCGAAAAGGTAGAAGGAGGGGGGTGGGGTGGGTGGGTGGGGGTAGCAGGCTACCAACTCTTTACTACTGGACAGACAGACAAACCTAGATTAACCAATGCTTATTTGCTTGGGGCAGTGGCCCCCAACCTTTTTTGTGCCACAGCCCGGTACCGGCATCACAAAATGATCCGCGGCCCGGTACCAGCATCAGCACGCATGACAAGGCAAGGCGAGGCGAGCCGAGCGACCGGCCAGCCAGCCGTCCCCCGCTTCTCCCCGCCACCTTCAACTCCTCCTTTGTACCTTTGTCGATGGGCTTCGGGACGGCTTCGGGACGGTCGCTCGGCTCGCCTTGCCCTGGGTGCTGAAAGAATCCTCATGCCTTAGTTTTGTTCGAAGCCGCCCTCCCCCCCTTCGATGAAACTAAGGCGCGAGGATTCCTTCAGGACCCAAACGCCGCTTTCCAACCGGAAAAGCCCACCGGAAGCACTTTCTCATCAAAACAAGATGGCGGCACCCAGCAAACCGGCGGCCCGGTAGAAAATGTTCCACGGACCAGTACCGGTCCGGGGCCCGGTGGTTGGGGACCCCTGGCTTGGGGACTCTGGCTCCTTCACTGGGAATGCCTAGAGGGAGCGGGTTAGCTAACCACCCTTAAAGCAAGCCAGGCAGCTGCACCACTGCTTTCTTCCGAGGCAGGTTAGCCTAATGGGTTAGCCTGCACACAAAGGCCAGCCGGCTTAACAATAGTTTCAGCTACGGTTCAACTGGAAATGCGGAGCGCATTTGGTGCTGTGGAAACCTAAACTTTTTAGTGGCCAGGAGTGCAACAGAGTCCCGTCGTTTTCTTTGTGCTTATCAGTATGACCACAGAGGCAGGAAATGACCTTCCTCCTCCTCCGCCCCCTCAGAGGTGGGAGTCCACATTTTTTCCTACACACTTCACACGCGCACAGAGCACTCAAAAACCGCCCTCTGTCTCAGCACTCATGAGGTGAGCTGTTTTTTAGCTCAGCTGAGGCGCAGCAATTTGCACGAATTAGCTGAGCTAAAAAGCAAGGGAATATAGGGCAGGGGAGGGCAGGGGTGGGTGGGCTGGGCCAGCCAGAGGAGGTATTTGCCGGTTCTCTGGCGACTCAACATTTCCACTACCGGTACGTCAGAACCGGCCCGAACCGGCTGAATACCACGTCTGCGCCCCCCTCCAGGCACTAGGATATCAGAGCCCTGATTGCTGCTGCTTCCAGAGGAAGGAGAACTCGGCCTAAGAAGGCCCGATGGGTTGTGTGGAACCAGACCCTGCTCAGACCCCGTGTCGTCTGAGGAAGCGAGAGGCTGGGTCCCCCGCCACCCTCGAGTTGTGAACGCAGTCTCTGCCTGGGCTTCTCTCCTCCTCAGAAAGCGAACAAGGGAAGCAAGAACATGGAGAGGTTGAAGAAGAAGCTGTCCGAGCAGGAGTCCCTGCTTCTCCTGATGTCTCCTAACATGGCCTTCCGAGTGCACAATCGCCACGGCAAAGTGAGTTGGTCTCCCAGATTTCTAAGCTGTCTTTCCGGGTTTCTCTCAGAACCCTCCGGTTGGGCCTGGGTGGCCCATCCCACGCGCCCATTTCCCAGGTGCAAAGAGTTATTTACGGAAGCGTGTGGCGCCCTTCCCGAGATCAGGAGCAAAGGATGTGGCCTGTCTCTTGAGCTCTCCTCTTGAAACGCCGTCACCGCCTCCTGGTTCTGCAGCTTGGCATTGGTGACTTCCTCTGCCTTGGCCTGCTTAAGATCCGGGCACAGGAAAGGCTGCCTTGGACGTGACACGGAAGCTCCTCTTCTGACCAGTCGTCCCGGAATTGGGCACCTCTGGAGGGTTTTACATTTCAACCGTCCCCGGCATGGAATCCCGAGACACTTGGCTTGCTTCAGATGGGCTGTAATGCATCAGCCCACCAGTCAGTCGCCTTTGGCAGGGGGCGGGGTGTGTGTCGGGGGGGGGGGGGCAAGCAGATTGACACTCTTAACTTCCAGCCAGCCCCCCTCAGGGCTTTGAAAGGAGAGGGGCTTGCAGCAGTCCATCCCGTGTCCAGTCTGCCTGGCCAGAGCAGCTGGAGATCTCCAGCCTTGAGGGGCTACAGGACTTCTAGGCTGGAGATCTTCAGCCACTCTTGGCCAGGCAGACCAAGAGGAGATGCCACTCTGTAGCAGGGTCATGGCTCCTGTGCCACCCCACCACGCTTCTTGCCCTGGGCGTCCTCAGAGCTCTGACAGTCGTATCAAGAGATCCGCCTGCTTTACGGAGCTCTCCTTTTCTCCTCACACTTTTATACAGAGGTAGTCCTTGACTTACAACAATTCATTTAACAACCATTCGGAAATGACCATGACACTGAAAACAGTGGCTTATGACCGGTCCTCACCCTTTTAACTACCGTAGTATTCCTGCTGTCATGTTCCCGGAATCCAGGCTTTTGTCCAGATTTGTGACAGTTGTGGCACCCCAAGTCACGTGATAGGCCCGTGTGACCTTCCCAACTGCCTCTCAGCAAAGTCAATGGCAGAAGCTGGATTTCCTTAATCACGTGATCCAGTGAGCAACTGCAGTGATCTATCTAATAAAAAAGTTCTGATTAGCAGCAGAATCTCCGGGCCCGACTGTGGCTGTAGCAGTAGCAATAGCCCTTAGACTTATGTAGTATTTTTACAGCCCTTTCTAAGCTTTTTACAGCCTGTTGCCCCCCAGCAATCTGGGTCCTCATTTTACCCACCTCAGAAGGACAGAAGTCTGAGTCAACCTGGAGCCTGGTGAGATTCGAACTGCCAAATTGCAGGCAGCTGGCAGTCAGCAGAAGCAGCCTGCAGTACTGCACTCTGACCACTGCGCCACCGTGCCTCATGTAAGGCAAAGACTGTCTGCATTCCCCAGAAGGATATTAAATACACTGATGAGTCCATTGCAAAACTTCTGGGTGGGAGAATTTACCCAAAATTATATGAAACAGGGTCCCCAGAGTCCTGCTTCTCACTTTCTTTCTCACTTTATATACGTTGTGGCTATTATTTCATACTCTTCATTATTGTTTGTGGTGTATTTTTTGCATAGTAGATTATAGAATAGAAAAGCTTACGCATCTTGCGATCCACACATCATACTTTAATTCTTTCGGTAAAGTCGAAGCACCAGAGGCTGAGACAGGAAACTTTCTAGCGTAGATTTTGGACATGCAGCATTGCTGGATAAAACCACACAATTTTGGGGATTGTGGTTTCTCTGTGTTGCCACCTGCTGCTTCTTCTCCCTTAGAGCTACACCTTCCTCATCTCCTCGGACTACGAACGGGCCGAGTGGCGAGAGATCGTCCGAGAGCAGCAGAAGAAATGTACGTGCCCCGGCGAGATCCTCTCCTTGTGGGTTGGCCAAGTGGCATTTGGGGTGTGCCAAGGCCGGTCCTTCTGCCCAGGGCGGTGCAGCGCAGGCCAGTTCCTTGCATGGGCTGGGGGAAGGGCGAAGGCGGAGGTGGGCTGGACTGGTCCCTGCTGACCACAGAAGCCTCTCCTAGCGCTTCTCCTTCCACCAGGCCTCACGGGTGGGCATCTGGCTCCGTATCCCCCCACCACGCTGGCCTCTGGGGAGGGCCAGGCTTCTTGTTGCAAGCGAAGGCTCCTCGTCCCCTGGGCCTAAGGCTTTGCATTGTCCCCCCAGATGGAAGGGAGTGGGGGGGTCCCAGGTCTTCCCAGCAGGAACTCCCAGAGCCCCGGACGGCCCTTTCCCGCTTCCAAGCCTGGGGGAGCAAAGGATTCTCCGGGCCCCCAAGTGTGTGAATCTCCTCTGACCTGCAGGCTTCAAAAGCTTTTCGCTGACATCGGTGGAACTCCAGATGCTGACAAATTCTTGTGTGAAGCTTCAGACGGTGCATCACATTCCCCTCACCATTAACAAAGAAGGTGAGTGTGCGAGACGGGACCGGCCCCTCCGCCCCTGCCTTGCACTGATCTCCTGCGGAGCTTCACCCACCGCTGCTGAAGGGAGCCAGGCCCCCTCCGCCCAGCCCCTGCGGTGACCTTTGGGGCATGAAGTCAAGGGGGCTCCTGGACTAAGTGGGCTGCCCTCCTCCCCATGGAAGGGGGGCTGGGAGGAAGGAGGGGCGGGTTGGACCTGGGGAGGCGCCCATGGGACGGGCCCTCCTTCCTCCCGTTCTGTGGGGAAGGCCCCTCCCTGCAGTCCCTGGGAAGAGTTTGCCGGCGCCTGATGATAAACAGCTACAGGTAGTCCTCCACTTACAGTCATTTCTTTAGTGACTGTTCGAACTTATGGCAGCACTGAAAAAGTGACTTCCAACCAGTCCTTACCTTTAAGACCTCTGCGGTCACACGATCCGGCATGCATTTGTGACGACATGGTTGCCGTTGGTGGTCTTCCCGACTGACTTCCAGCAAGCAAAGTCAATGGGGAGAGTTGGATTCACTTAGCAACCACGTGATTCACTTAGCATGCGTGGTGATTCACTTAATGGCCAGCAAAAAAAAAAAACACCTCATAAAATTGGATTTGATCCACTGAGCGGGCACCTCACTTAGTGGCGGTGGTTCCGATCCCAATTGTGGATGGAAGTTGAGGATTACCCGTAACCTGATCGGTGGATTTGGGAAGGGATTCTGAAAGGTTTGTTTAGAACAATTGGAACACTAAACTTTATAGAACGAAATCGATGCTTTTGGGTTTCTCAAGCAACAGCGTAACGGTTACCAAACCTGGGGGCTCTGAAGGTGTAAATCTCCCCCCTCCCTCCCTAATGTGGAGTTTCCACCTTGCTCTGGGGGGCCCCATGGATCTGCCCCCATCGCCCCCTTGTTTCTCCCTGACACAGATGACGAACCCTCCGGCCTCTACGGCTTCCTGAACGTGATTGTCCATTCGGCCACTGGCTTCAAGCAGAGCTCCAGTGAGTGTAGATGCCCGGCAGGTGGGCCAGTGGGACGGGCAGGGTGCCCTCCTCAACGCTTAAAGTCAGGCCTGAACTTACGGTCTGGCTTACAGTCCAAGCGGCCGGGGGTCGGTGGTTGGGGCTCAGTGGGGGAAAGCCCACGGAACATGGCTGAGGAGCGACGCGCCCTCCTGACCCGAAGGCTGCCCAGTGCAGCCGGTTGGGTAGGCCGAGACCCCCTGCAGCCCCAGGGGACCCTTACCGCAGTTGTGGCCTCTGCCTCTTCAACAGGCCTGTACTGCACCCTCGAAGTGGATTCCTTCGGGTACTTTGTGAACAAGGCCAAAACCAGAGTTTACAGAGACACCGCAGAGCCCAACTGGAATGAGGTAGGTGGGAGCAGTGCTGGCAGCAAGGGGATCTGTGCACCAAAGCGGCTGAGCTTCCAGGCACTTCCTTCTTGCCTCGTGCCCTGGCTGGAGGTGGGGCCTTTCAGGGTTCAGTGGACCTAAGAAATCCTCCCTTGGATGGAGGGAGGGCGGGGGGCAGCAGCCTTCCTCCAAATAGGGAGCATTGCAGAATAAGAGCCATTTGTATGCTAAGGCACAACATTTTGGTTTTGTAAGGAAAACCAGTAAGGCTGGTTGACATATCAATTACTCTTTAGAACAAACGGATCTAGTATTGCATTAGATCCAACCCAGTATTGAGTATTTGGGGGCGGGGGGGGGGGGTTACAAGCAATTTCAGGACAATAAATAAACTGGTAGTTAGTATGAACTAAATGAATAAAACGATTGGGTGATGTATCTTTTTAAAAAATCTTTATCTTATCCATGTCTGTCTTCAATTTGTATATGGTGCCCCTGTCAAAATGGTTCTTCTTTGCTGAGTTTGCATGACGGTTTTGTTTTTCTCAAACCGCTTTTATCGTGATTTAACAAAATGCATTTCGTAGCCAGCCATAAAAGTGAGTAACCGACTTCTGCCCCTTGCCCAGAAAAGGGGCTGCTTGCAAGCTGTGCTGGCTGGCTGGGAGACGTAGCACGCTTGGTCTCAGGTTCCCTGGGGCTCCTAGTGAAGAAGGAGCTGAGCCGAGGGGGTCTGAAGGACTTTGGATTCAGCTGTGAATCTTGGAAAGAAAGCCGTGAAGAATTGGCAAAATATCCCAATTTGAGGCTGGCGCAGTGCGAAGACCTCACAATGCTTTGGAGGAGACGCCTTGGCTGTTGTCTCCTGTCCAAAGCTGTACAGTTTGTGCCCCTGAGGGTCATTGCAGGACCTTCTGAAATTGAGAGTTTGTGGGGGCTGCAATGGAAAGACCAGCCTGAGCCCCATTGCCCCATAGCTTTTGCCTTCTTCCCTGCAGGAGTTTGAGATAGAACTGGAGGGCTCCCAGACGCTGCGGATCCTCTGCTACGAGAAATGCTACCACAAGACCAAGCTCACCAAAGAAGACGGCGAGACCACGGACCGCATTATGGGCAAAGGCCAAATCCAGGTGGGGGGGGGATGCCGCGGCTTGGGGGGAGCGGTTGACCTTGGAACTGCATGCCAATGAGGAGGAGGAGGCGCATTTAATTTCCACTTAACCTGAAGTGAAATTGCATATTGAGGTAGTCCTTGGCTTTAGTTTACTTCATTGTTATTGCACCTCGTACAAGGAAATTAAATGCCATTTTCAGTGTACATCCTACATTAAAAAAAAACTATAAAGATAAAACAAAAACACACATCCTTCACATTCTATACAACTGAATTGAAAACCCCTCAGACTGCATTAGTATTACACTATACAGTGGAATTCAATATGGTTCCTGTTCTGCAGGGGTGGGATTCACAAATCCCAAGATTTTTGCTGGTGGGCGTGGCCTACTGGAACTTCTGAGAGGGCCGTTTTTCGCCCTCCCGAGCCTCCGTGCAGACTGGCCTGCATCCAAAACGAGCTGTGTGGAAGGGAGGGGTGGGCGGGGCCAGCCAGTCAGTTCAACTACCGGTTTGGCAAATCAGATGTAAATTTAACATCAGTTCGCCCGAACCGACTGAATCCCGCCCCTGCTGTTCTTGGATAGAAGCTGTTTTTCAGTCTATTTGTGCTTGTTTTTATTATCCTGTACCGTCTGCCAGATGGTAATAGTTCAAAAAAAGGGTGCCCAGGATGAGATGGACCTTTGAAGATGTTTTGAACTTTCTTAAGGCAGCAGGAGAATGTTTCGAACTTTCTTAAAGCTCTTCCAAAGAGGGGAGAGGGCAATTGCATTCTATACAATTAATATTGCGTTAATATTGCCCTATACAGTAGAATGCAATAGAGCTACTGCCCTGGGATAGAAGCTGTTTTTCAGCCTATTTGTCCTTGTTTTTATTATCCTATACATCTGCCAGATGGTAATAGTTCAAAAAAAGGGTGCCCAGGATGAGATGGACCTTTGAGGATGTTTTGTCTTATGACCATGTTGTGGCTCCGATTCCCGAGCCTGTGCTGTTAGAGGAAGAGGACTTGGAAGATGAGGAGGAGGAACTGGGAATGCCTTCCTCCCCAGGACCTTCCTCTCTGGCAATGCCTTCCTCCCTGATAATGCCTCAGGTTTCATCAGACAACTGAGAGGAACAGCCTGAGATTAATCAGGAGGAAGGCATATCGGAGCAGCCCCTGACAGGGAGTCAAGAGGAAGAATGTTGGCTTGATCCTAGGCAGCGTCGTAGGGAGAAACGTGAGCAGCAACGTAGGAGGCGTGGGAGGGTCAGAGAGTGAGCTGAGTCATTGAGCCACACCCCACAGGGGATGAAAGTGGGTGTGTTGTCGGCTGGAACTTTGTACGGGACAAAGTTTGATCTTACTTCAGGTTTTCTTTGTGAATGATTTTTGTGGTCTGCCTTGTAATTTTCTGTAAGTAGCTTTTTACTTGTTATCAGTTCGGACTTGGCAGGCAGAGCGTGTTGGAATGCCAAGGACTGTTATCAGTTCCAAAGAATTAACTCTGTGAAGTCCGAGCCAGCTTGCCTGCCTGTGTTTGTGTGAGTTTGTACTCTTTCATCTTTTGGGAAAGAAGAAAGGTGAGACAGAACATGACCGTAATTGAGCCCAGAAGTACAGTCATACTTCTGGCCACGGTGGCCGTTGTTAAGTGGTCGCATGACCAACCGGATTTTACAACACTTCTTGACATCTGCCATTAAGCAAATCATCATGGTGGTTAAGCAAATCTGCAGTCGTTATGTGAATGCCACAGTTATTTAGCAGATGGGCGTTTTTTTGCCACAAACCAGAAGTGAATACCAGTTTCCAACGAAAAGCCTCATAAATCATGGTCCAGTGACCTCAGGGAGCTGTAAATGGCCATAAATCCAGCACCCTGAATGTGATTACGTGGGAGGCTGGCTGTCAGAACTTCAAATCTGGATCGCAAGTACTGTTTTTGGGGGTCTACCCTAACTTCAAAGAGTCATAAGTCAAGGACTCTCTGTACTCTTTTGGCTTATGTCGCCATTGTTTATTTCATATTCGCCGCCTCAGGTTGAAAGTATGTGCTTCAGCAGGTCACTCTTAACTGGCCTTCCTTCCAGAATGTCCTCCCAAATCCTGACTTTTCTACATTGGGGGAGTGCAGGCCTCCCTCTCAGGCAGGAGGGCTTTTGAACCCTTGTTGACTGCAGTGGGTTTGCACACTCCGCATTGGTGCAATGCTTTATTTAGCATTTGATGCATGGTGAGAATAGCTGGAGGACAGTTTTTAATTCTCCACGCTGACCGTTTCCCCCTGGTGGTGCCGGGAAAACTGCCCCCTCTTTAGCTCCCTCTCTTCCAGCCGCTGCTGCTCTACCCTGAGCTGCATCCCTCTGCAAAGGGCTCCTTGGAGATTTTGCCTCCGCCCACTGTTTTGGGCACTGCCAAATGTCTGGAAGGGGTTGCAAGGGGGGGGGGGGTAGGGGAGACCTCTGGCGATTTTGTGCATGGGGGCTTCAAGCGGGAGGTCTGCAAAATTGCTGCAGGAAACATCATCACGACAGAGACCCCAAGGGAGCAGCTGAGAAAGGGGCCCCGTCACTGATCTCTTGGGGCCTCTGGACCCTCGGAAAAGCAGGTCCGGCTCCTCCAACCACCCATTGAGGCCCCCCCTAGTGGTAGTGGCGTGTGGGAAAGACCTTGTGGGGAGAGATGCTGCCTGGGGAATGGTCAGATGAGAGGCTGCATCCCCTGCAGCTAGGGAGTAGGGCAAGAAGCTCCCTCGTTTCTTTGCACTTCTGTTGAGGCAGCCTCACAACAAAGCAGACTTAGCTGACCTAGTTGAGTTTCTGGTCTGGTCTGCCTTGGAAGGCTGATACGATCCCATCCCACCCTATACTGGCTCAGGGTCCCTCAAGGGTGGCCGTTGCCTCTGATCCCATCTAGCAATCCAGTCTCAGACAGGGGAGGCTCCGCTGGGAAGCTGTCAGGTTTCCAAGCAATGAAAGAAGCACGGCCAGAAATCAGGGGCAAAACCAGGAGAAAAGGCTAGATAGGTCAGGTTTGGTGTTCACAATAGATCCATATCTTTTCACAGGGTGGAAATGAGCCATAACCCAAAGCGTTTATTTTCCACTGTGCAGGGCTGTGGACTTTCTGTCTTAACACGAAAACTGGGTAGGATTCTTTTCCAGGTGATGTTGGTTTGTCAGGTAGAATAATAATGGCAAAGTCTCTGGATTTGGCCCCTTGAGTGGAGGGAGGGGTTTAATACTGGCTCACTGTGTTTTTCAGCTGGACCCCCAAACCTTGCAAGACAAGGACTGGCAACGCACGGTCATCTTCATGAATGGGGTAAGGAGGCAGGTTGGTGGAGATCCTCAATCACGCAAGTCACTTTGGTTGTCCCAAAGGTGCTTTTCTTTTAAAAGGCAACGGGACTTCCTTGGGGTTTTTTTTTTCCCTTTGAAAACATTTCACTTCTCATCCAAGAAGCGTCTTCAGTTCTTCAGGTTTGCACACACGTTACGATGCCGCTTGTCAGGATTAAGTCTGTTACCTTTGCTGAAAAGAAGCAATCTGCCCTCTAACTCCTTACACGGACATTAATGATGAGTAATAGAATCACCTTTGCTCAATCATCCCATTATAACCCTTTAAGTCTCTTATTTGGAGAGCAGCTTATGCCCAAAGAAACAATACCTGGAAAATCGTACCAAAATAAAATGAGCAAAGCGTGGACCGATCAGAGCTAAAGCCATCATCATAAAGGTTATTTATACAGGGAATACGGGGAACTGACCTTTTATGAAATATTACTATGTACTGTGCAAGCACAGAAAAATATTTGCTGACCTATTGCATATTTTAATTTTAAAAAGCCTTTTTAATTGATGATGGATTAGGTTTTCTTTCGTAGATGCTTCCCTCTTTTGTAGCTTTGCTGTTTCTGTTCCTTCTGGGCTTAGTGGGTGAAGAATGCCAGAGTGGGCCTCCTTGGCCTGAGCACGGGGGCTTCTCCCCAAGGCCCCCTTCTGCTGCCTGCCCTCAGCAGGCCCGGAGGGGGAGTCCGGCATAACCTGGAACAAGGAACTGAGAGTTTCTCTCTCTTTCCAAGGTCGAAGTCAAGCTCTCCGTGAAGTTCACAAGCAGAGAGTTCAGTCTAAAGAGGATGCCATCTCGAAAGCAAACGGGAGTATTTGGAGTAAAGATTGGAGTTGTCACCAAGTAAGTTCCTTCCTTCCTTCCTTCCTTCCTTCCTTCCTTCCTTCCTTCCTTC